CGTGCCATACTTCAAAATGTTTTATTAAAATATTCCAAGAAAATAAGAAATTGCAAGTTGAGGCTCGTGAAGTTCATACCATGAATGCGTCCATGGATTCAATTGGTGTTGATGACTTAGAAGCTTATATGAATGATAGAACCTCTAATAATGAATCAAATGATGCATTCGTTGATTTTGCAATAATACATACTATCTTGCGAGATAGATGATTTTTTATTGAAAAATCTTCAACTTGGCAAACTAAAAATATGATGACCATGGCTGGAGCAAATGTGTTTTGTTTCCAAGAGGGCATAGCGATGGTAAAATTACCTGCGAGTTCCATCATAAAATGTAAACATGCGATGTTTGCACCCTGAGCACCTAGGAGTCTGATCAGCTACTAAGATGTGCGTATTAATGGTTAACACCTCTCGACCACCGCTTTAAATATAAAAGAGATTTTGGTTCTTGCAAAGGACCATAAAGTTGTTGAAAAAGCTTTTGCTACAAAAAATGGTTTATACCGAATTGTGATTCGGCCTCCTATTATATTTAATTTTGCATCATCTATCTCAGAGAGTCATGTTTCTCTCTAGCATGGATGATTGGAATATCTAAGATCCACATTATTTAGAAAGATCATTCTATATATAACTGGGTATAATTTAAAGCCTATAGATGTAGACTCTATGAAATTATGTTGTACATGCATGCAAGGTAAAATGATTACTCGGCCTTCAATTTGGCAACTTCCACAAGAATTACCACCAATGCTTGAAAGATTGCATGGTGATATTTGTGGTCCTATTAATCCAATATCAGGACCATTTCGTTATTTTTTAGTCCTTGTTGATGCATCAGGTAAACAATCACATGTTTCATTACTATCAACTCAAAACATGGTGTTTGCCAATCTTATATCTATGCTTATTCGCTTTCGGGCACATTTTCTTGATTATCCTATAAAAACATTGTATATGGATAATGCAAAAGAATTTGCATCAAAGTCTTTTGAAGACTATTGTACTCCAATATAAATTGAGTTGACATATTGTGTTCTATATGAACATGCTCAAAATGGACTTGTAGAGTCATTTATAAAGCATATACAACTCATTACCCGGCCACTCCTCCTTCATGCAAATCTACCTGGATCTATGTGGAGTCATGTAGTTTTACATGTTGCAGCATTAATACTCCTCCGCCCTTCTTTTCTTGAAATTGTTTCACCACATGAGCTCATCTCGGGTAGTATTCCAAATGTATCTTACTTACAAGTATTTGGTTGCCGTACTTGGATTCCAATACCAAAACCTCAATGGTGTATCATTGGAGCTCATCGACAAGAAAGCATGTATATTGGTTTTGATTCATCAAGCATTATTTGTATTGTTGATCCATCAACTGGCACATTATTACGTGCATATTTACAAAATTGCTGTTTTAAAGAAACTGTATTCCCATCTCTTCAAAGAAGAGTATCCAATCAACAAAGAAATAAAGTACTCATATTTGAAGCACTAGAAACATTTACAATGAATCTCGATCATAGGACATCTTTGGTAGAAATTGAAGTTGCTAAGATTTTACATTTAAAACGGATCGCGGATGAAACACCTGATGGCTTCAATGATGTACTTAGAATTACAAGAGTTCCTATTAATGAGGCTCAGAATGCACCTGCTCAGATTGCACTGCCATTGACTACAATACCTCAAGTTATAACAACAACAATTAAAAGAACTCGTGGACTAAATAAGCAACCACTTAAGAAGAAAGCTATAAAATTAACTAATCTTGGTATTATTTCTCAAGAAATTACCACTCATCTTGCAGGACTACCAATTCATGATGATATATCCATGCATAATGTACCTTCAATTCCTATGAAAAACAATCTTGGAATTGGAAGGAATAAGAATAAGTTGAGTAAAGCATTATCTATTCTGTATTGTGCTACAGATGATATTTGGGATAGACCATCTATTACGATAGATGAATCATTTGTATATATGATTGTAGAAGCCTTTTCTTGTGAGGAAGATGGTCCTCAACCTCAAACCATCGAAGAGGCGATGCATCGCTCAGATTGGTCAAAATGGAAAACTGCTATTGAGGAGGAGTATGCTTCTTTGCGTAAGAAGAAAGTCTTTGGTTCAATTGTAGACACTCTTACATCTTGCCCTGTGGATTATAAAATGGTATTAATATACAAGCGAGATGCTCAAGGCCAAATAACCCGCTATAAAGCTCATCTTGTTGCTCAAGGATTTACTCAACGATTTGGCATTGATTATGAATCCACATATTCTCCAATCATGGATTCAATTACATTTCAATATATTATTGGAATGACAGTTCATGCCACCCTTGAGATGCATTTGATGGATGTAGTAACTGCATATCTATATGGTTCTCTTGATGCAAATATTTATATGAAAGTTCTACTTGGCTTAGAAACATGAATTCCAAATTAACCCGCTTTAGGAAAATATTGTGGTATTAAATTATGTAAGGCCTTATATGATTTTAAAAAATCCAAAAAAATGTGGTATCAACATCTTTGAGATTATTTAATAACAAATAATTTTATAAGTGATCTACTAATCCCTTATTTATTTATCAAACAAGATAAAACTGATTTTGTGATCATCATTGTATATATTGATGATCTTAACCTAGTGGGTACTACATCTGCATGTGTTATAGCTACAAACCTACTTATATATGAATTTGAAATAAAAATGCTAGGAAAAACAACTTTTTGCATTGGTCTTCAGATTATGTATCTAACAGATGATAGCATTTTTCTCTACCAACTAACATATATTAGACAAATCTTGCAAAGATTTAATATGATTGATGCTTATCTATTGTCCACACCAATGGTTGGACGTGGTCGTGATGGTCATGATCCATACCGTCTATGCGAGGAGGAGGAAGAAATATTGGGAGACCAATATCTATACCTCGCAGCGGTTGGAGCACTTTTGTATTTAGCTACATCTACAAGACCAGATATTGCATTTGCAGTTAATGTTCTTGCAAGATATAGTGCATGTCCAACACTACGACATTGGAATGGCATCAAATATTTATTACGTTATTTAAAAGGTACTGAAGACTTAGGATTATACTACACAAAATCACCAGATCCAAAATTGGTTGGATATTGTGATGCAAGATATAAATCTGATATTACAACAGCTAAATCTCAAATAGGATATGTATTTTTAAGACATGGAGTTGCAATATCATGGAAATCAGTGAAACAAACAATAACTGCAACTTCATCTAACCATGTAGAAATTATTGCTTTACATGAAGCATCTCGAGAATGTATTTGGTTGCAATCAATTGATAAATTCATTCAAATAACCTATGGATTTTCATATGATGATTCTCCAACTATCTTGCATGAAGATAATAGTGCTTGTATTGCACAAATGCAAATTGGTTTCATTAAAGGCGACAGGACAAAGCATATTAATCCAAAGTATTTTAGTTATACTCATGACTTAATTACTAATCAAGCACTTATAATTAAGAAAATTGAATCTACAAATAACCTTGCTGATCTCTTCACCAAAGCTCTCCCATTAAGCAACCATCGTCGACTTACTTATGGCATTGGTATGCGGCGACTTGCTTTTCTTAAATATGAAAGTTAATTAGCTCTTTAAATAATTTAAAAAAATGATGTTGTACTCTTTTTCCTTCATCTATGGTTTTGTCTTTCAATAAAATAAAGTTTTTCTAGATAAGGTTTTAATGAGGCAACAATTGTTGATCTTGCAAGATCACAGAAAAGTATAGATCATAATTCTATACAAATTTTATATTATGTAAATATTATGATGAGCGAGGAGGAGTGTTGAGATCATTAAATGTAGCCGGCGCTCTCCATAATATTTACTGTAGACTACAGTAAATATTGTAGCTATAGTATTTAGAGTATAGTGGAGAAGTATTGTTTATCCTCTCCTCTTTTCTCTTCTTGTATATGAGACATAACCAGATCAATAGATTTGTGTGTGTGAAGCTCTCTCTCCTAAGAAACCCTCTTGTGTGTATGACTTACTATTACTCTTGTGTCTTTCTAAACATTCTCAACAAGGAGAACAAAGACCCCACCTCTCACAATTGCTCGACCACATACACACATCAAGCTTTTGAAGTGATGAATGAACTCCATAATCACCACATTGTGTGTGGGTTGAATAGGTGCACACTAGGCAGGAAAAAGAAAGTACGCTTTTTCTTACATGAGTCTACAAAGGATTGCTCCATTGGAGTGTTCCATGTACCAAGTATTCAGACGGCTGATGCTATTTTCTTTCATGTCCACAAAGGCCATCCACAAGTACAGATTCAGTGGCATTTTTTATTGCTTCAGTAAGTTTTCAGAAGACGATCCCTTCAACTTTCACATTCAAATGATCCCACACATTTGTGTGTTGGCATTAGCCTTGTGAAGGTGGGTATGGCTATACACCAGTTTTAGATCAGTTGCCAAACATGATCTCATATGCCCCTGGTAATTAGCTAACAACGACCTGATTTAGCAACCTCAATTAGACTCATTTGTTCCTGCACAGCTGCAGCCTTTTAGGGGCAACGTTAATTGAGGGGGGGGTAGGTGTCACTTAGTGGAAGAACTGAAGCGTACAAGAGGAATGAAGCCAAGTCATGCTGCAAATACGAGATCATAGAAGCGAGTAAAATGCATGCCTAGGATAAGAGACAAATAGAGCTTGCACTCAACAAGATTCAATCCAAAATGAAAGTTGCCAAAGGACTGCTGTAGGGACATGTAGAAAATTTATCACTCGTTTTCATATTACTAGTCTTTCAGCATCAGACACAAATATGACAGCATGATTTGCTAGATCGTTGAGTTTGCTCTGCACATCAGCTGAAAATTCATGCACTCACGCACCAGATAACGACCATGTCATGTAATCGCACACCGTTTGGGCAGAACGTGGGAGGAAACTTTATAAATCCAGGAAGAATGGGTAACATAAAGAATCACAGATGCCCTGAGACAGTGTTCTCGCTTTATTTACGTCCCTTCACCTTCATAGGCGAATCCCCCAGTAAAACAGCAGACAGACCTGGCCGGAGTCTGCAAAATTCTACAGATGAAACAGCTTATGGAAATAAAATTTCAATAAGAGGTGGCCGAAATGACCCACACAGTGACCCCCACTAGTTCCCCATCATCAGTAGTAACCGTTTAATACGGACTACCACGAGGATGCTCTATCAGGGCATCTGTCTCTCTTCCAGTGGCTTTCCCTAATCTCACAGGGAGCAGGGCTTATGCTGCTATGAATCGATTGGCATAATACATGAAATCCTATGATAAGGGTCCATATCACAAAATCATGGTATGGTAACTGAAGCGCAATAAATGACACACACACACAGTGCCATGACTTCGTAGTCGTTCCTCACGAAACGAAGAACTCTGCAAGTTTCGCTCGCTCGGTTCGGTCTCTTTCTGGTGGGGAGCACCCAGAGTTTCTTCATCGCCTGGATTCCCAATCACTTCAAAAACCTCTGGAAAGGTTTTGAAGCTGAAATTTACGATGGAAACTACGTAGTTATTGCCTGGGATAAGTTCGAATTGGGCTCATTGTTAGCAAAGTCATAAATCTAGTGAACTTTTTGGTAGAGCCATTGCTACCTGCTGATGGAGGGTGGGTTGGTTCTCATGAGGATCGATCCGGTGGTATGCCTATACGAAGCAAGAATTACTGCTGTCTGAAAAAGTTGTAGGTACTGGTGGAGCCTGGCAGTATGAAAATTCACAGGCCGCCATGCTCGGCCCACTTCATGAAAGTCGCCAATGCCCCTGAACAGCAATGTGGACAAGATCTTGTGGCTTTCTGTTCTGAAGTTACGAAGGTATTGAGCTGATAGCTTGTAAAGTGCGAAAGGATAATCACCGATAGTTCCTGATTTTCATACCCATCTTCAAGGAAACCAAGCTGTCCGGATAAATGCAACGATGAATATTTCACATTATTCAGGAGCACAATATCATTGTAACTAAACATGATGCCTCAAACATTGGTTTCAGCTGACAGCCGCACATCCATCGTATCCACAGGGTTCGTTAGCCTGCAACATGTAAAACCTCTTCAGACAGAAATATAATCCACCAGAGTGGTCACACACAGATGGTTGTCCTGAAATCATCACACCCTGACATGTTGTCCAGCATGCTATTTGTTCTTGTGTTCGGGGTTTCTCTCAAAACAATTTACAGACTTTTGAACTACTTGGAATCCTGGTATTTGACAATATATTTGCATTTCTGCAATACCGAATAATACTGGTGCTTGAGCGTCGAGTAAGCTTGAGTGCTATTTCATGCCCTCCGGTCAAGAGATGGCCTGCTCTAAAATCCAAATGTTCAGCACAAATCTACATTGCCTATAAATCTTGTAACCTGGAAGAGAGACGGATCATTGATAACAAAAGGCTAGAAAGGTTTGACATCATTCTACAAGTGCCATTCGTGATGTACTTCAAGAAGACTTTGGAAAGCCAAAAAACAAAGGACGTGACCTGCCTGCTGGTGGAAGTTGCAGCGGAGTCAGGATTGAAGAGTACATTATGAATATGTTCAAGAACAATGCTCAAAAATCATCAACCAGAAATGAATCTGCACTCCCAAGATGAAAGTGCTCTTCTAGGATTCGAATACCACGTCCTCCAAACCATAGTGACTTGGTAACTGTGCGTGAAGCTCAACAGATTGCTCATTATATTCTCGGCATGAAACTGAAAGTATTACTCTTTATATTAGAACAGTTAGTTCGATTAATCGTAGGAGTAACAGTTTGAAGCAACTGTTAGTTCGATTAATCGTAGGAGTAACAGTTTGAAGCAACTGTTAGTTCGATTAATCGTAGGAGTAACAGTTTGAAGCAACTGTTAGTTCGATTAATCGTAGGAGTAACAGTTTGAAGCAACTGCAGGAACTCATCCAGCCAGGGGTCTCGACGTTCCAGTCGCACCACCCTCGCTGGATCAATCATGTATAAACACAGTGTTTACTATGTATTAACTTGAATTATTATTTATAAATTTATTTTATGATTCTAATATGGTGTCAGAGCATAACTCTACTAATTTATTTTTGATATAAAAATTTCTAAAAAAACACTAAACAATCACAAGAAAAAGAAGAAAGTTTTGACAAAGACATTTGTCATAGAAATTGGGGCACCAATAATCTTATCTTCTCTTCAAAATGGCTACAAGTAATCTCTCAATAGAAGAATTGCCAACAATAATCTTATCTTCTCTTCAAAATGACTACAAGTAGTCTCTCAACAGAGGAATGGCCAAAGTTTGATGGCTCTTGGTATACAATTTGGAAAAAGAAAATCTAAATGAAATTCAAAATTGAAGAATTATGGGAGTTAGTATTTGGCAAATTCAATCCTAGAAGAAAATGCAACAATGTTGACATTACCAACTAATTAAGTTGCAATTACCACTTAGAAAAAAGGAGATTATGGTGTACTAAGTGCCGTATGGAATTGTGTATATAATTCCATATTTTTCCATGTTGGAGCATGCAAAACGGCCAATGAAGCTTGGCTTACATTTGAAAATAACCATTCCATAAGTGATATTGTTACATAAGCATATATACAAGAAAAATTCATAACACAAAAAATGAAAGCGAATGAATTGATAACACAATATTTATATAACTTTAGAACATTATTAAAATAATGTCATTTTATTGGAGTTATTATTCCATATCAAATAGAAATCCTTACATTAATGATATCAATGCCAATTCAATATAGCACTATCATTCAAACATTCCGCACTACCAATACAATAATTCTACCAAAATTGATTTCTATTTTATTACAAGCGGAAACCTTAATGAAGAGCTCTTCCTCAAAATCATAAGCACTTTTTGTTGGAAGAAAAAATAAATAAATAATAATTTTGTCTCCCTATAAAACCACCATAAAAATAATAAGTTTTTTTTGAAGAATAAATCAAAATCAACAATTCTATATTCACATTGTAAGAAGATGGGATATTAAGGATTGGAATATTTTACAAAAATCAACAAGTATAAACCATCAATCAATATGAAAATAATAATTTATGAAAATAAAAAATAAAAATAGAAATAAGAAAATATCAAAAAAATGTCTCTATTCTTTTATGTTCATATTTATCTTACACAAGCATATTTCTTTAAAAAATAATCCAAATTGGATAAGATCTTACTCAATTTATTGATATAAAAGTAATTCATTACTTGACTTACAATAAAAGCCAATTTATTTATTTTGAATCTTTATTACCAAAACAAAATTGAATGCATTGTAGTAATGACACTACTCTTCAAATTTATGGCCAAAGTGATGTTAAGATCTCCGTATGCAATGGACATGCCATTTGGACCACAAATACATTATATGTCTTTGATCTATACAAGAAATTATTTTTTGTCAGTAATTATGATATAAGAAGAGGTGGTATATCAATAAAAAAATATATGTATAGATTTCTTATCAAAGATGATTCTATCATAGCCTTGTGCCTACTTCAAAATTATTTGTACATCCTTGGCAACAAAATATTACAAGAAAAAAAAAAAAAAAAATTAACTTGGTTATTAATCAAAGAAAAGATTCATAAAAAATAACATATTTTTAGCTTGAACAAAGTGCATACAAGTCCAAGCCGACTATATGTATATGTAATATACATTGGTCTTCTAATCCATAAAAGGATGGCCAATTGCCTCACTATTAAATCCGTGTACTTGCACTAGCATTATATGATTACTATCCAATCATTGACCCTTGCATTACTACAGTCTTCACTAGTCAAAAGAATCCATTATTGCCTCAAGTGTAAACAACATTAGTTTGATATGTACTTCCGCATTGCTCCCATTCATATGAGTCTACTGACAATAATGATTTTTTCTTGGAGTACCCTTACCTCTATTGAAGCCTTAATTTAAGATTGTATCCTATTAAAACAATGTGGTATAATTTGACAAAACCTGCTCCAAGCTCGGCTCTCAACTTTCCTTCCTCAATTAATGGTTATCTTGATTTTGCCTCATGGTAGTAAAAAATGGAATTGCTTCTATCTCAACATTTAGAGGATGCTTCTAACAAGCAATTTCTCTTTGCAGTGTATAGCTATTTGGGTATTATTCTTTTAAACTATGATTATGCACCATCTTCAAAAAATTCTTTCCATCTTTGGTATTGCAAGTTGAGGCATATCAATATTAAGAGACTACAATAACTTGCTACTAATAAGTCCATTATAAGCTTATCTATTAAGTAAATTCTTCAATACTTATATCCAATATATCTTAATAAAAAGTAAATGAAGAAAAAATTCCTAAAAGCTGCTACAAATTGAGCTACTTAACTTCTTTAAATAGTTTATTTAGATTTAAATGGTCATAATGTCACATCTATTTTCTTCCAAGTTTGAATATTATGTCACATTTTTTAATAATTTTTTATATTATTTTGTACTTTGACTTTTTTATTACAAGAGTAAACACTTTTATATATTCAAAATATTTTATATATGGACAAAAAAATCAAATAAGATACAAGCTCGAAGTTCTCTACTTTGATTTAAGAGGTGAATATTTTTCTTCCAATTTTGATCAATATTTGAAAACTCGTGGTATTTAATGTCAAATTACCACATTATATATTATTTATTAAAATAGCATTATAAAATAGAAAAATTATACTTTGATGTATTTTATAAAATAAATTCTCTTGGAAGCTAAATTATCAAGACCATATTGGTACAAAGTTGTTACATATGCCACATATCTTCAAAATTATTCTCCTACCAAAAAGATTTTCAATGAAAAAACTCCTTTTGAATTGTATCACAACCAAAAGTGGATATTGCTCACCTTTGAGTCTTTAAAAGTTGATATTTTACAAAGTTTTCAGATTTTCTTTGTATTAAATTTGGCAATAAAACTTATGAATGTATATTGCTTGATTATAGCTCCTATAGTAAAATGTATAAGCTTCAAAGAATCACTAATAGAGCACTTATTTTTTTAAGAGATGTGTTTCAAAAGAAACATGTTGCTCATTCTCTTCCTAACATGCATCTTTTAAATCTTGCTAACAAAAGTATTTTGATGGATTTTTATATTTTTCAACCTATTGATTCTTCTATTTTGAGATCCACATATGGCAACCTTGGGCCTACACTCTTTAATTGTCCATCGCCTCCCTCCACTATGGTTGAATCCAATGGTCAATCTTATTTTTTTTCAATCTAAGTTTCTATTCTCTTGACCATAATTCTCCTTGATTGTTCTTGAATTCCTTTTGGTAGTCTCAACATTCTTTCTACAAAGATTTTTCTTGACAATATTGAAGTCTACTCTATTACAAATACTCTTAACAATCATGAGTTAATTATTGATAGTTCATATGATGTACAAGCAGTCCTACCTTCTACATTGGGCAGCACTAGCTCATCTTTGTCATTGTCTTTGAATTGTCCAAATCCTATGGAATTCCTTTGATTGTCTTCTTTATTTATGCTAAAGGGTGTCAACTTGTCTTGACATATGCTAGATCCTAATTCAAGACAAGAACTCATGCCACATCTTAGCAAGCATGTCCAATCTCTCCATATGCTTGTTATAAACAAATGCATGTAAGCAAGTAATTACATGTATAAATAGATAGAAGTAAGTAAAAGTATGTAAAAATAAATTAATTTTATAATATTTGCTATATAAGCTTCTTAGAAGCTTTATAGATGCTGCTTTGACTTTATATGTATCTTTAATTGACTTTTTGGATTAGAAACGTGGTCAACAAGTTGGCCATGTGCTACACATGTTGTTAGCTTGAAGACCAAGCTAATTATATGGCCCACACATAGAAAAACTTGCCTTGTAAGTCAAGGCATGTATCTTATAAAGTCAACACATATTGAAGGTCATATAGAATATTGCCACATAGCCCCTAGTTAGATAGTATATTTTGAGACAAGAGTGAAGCCCTCTTCATTCTTGTCAGCTCTTTTCTTGCTTCTAGTCTAGTTTCAAGGGTCTTTAGTTTTCTTGTCTTTTGGCAATAGCCATTTTAGTTTTTTTCTTAATATACATATTAAGTTATTTCTATTTTTTATCTTTTTTTGAAAAAACTCTCACTTATTTATTTATTTTTATCAAATTCTTGTCCTTGATAGATTAACAAGAGTACACTTACAATATCAAAGCTTTGTCTAATCTTGATTAAGAGTGGATTATCCCTTTTTCTTGATAAGACATAAGCATATTAGAAGTTGCGGATTACCCTCTTCTAAATTGATATTGTCCTTAGTATTTTCTTTGTTCTCAATTCCTCTCTTCTATTTGTCTTGAGTGATATTAGACATCTTTTCTTTTCTAAGTGTTATCATGGCATAACTTGTTGAAATAAAGAGTGCAATGGCACAAATACAAGAGCAATTGAGGGAGTTAATGCTTATGATGCATCAACTCAATTTTCCACCATAAGAAGCAAGAAGATTGGCAAGAAGTGAAGATATAGAAATGATTGGAGCTGATTCAATATCTACACCAAATCATGTCCTTTCTTCTATATTAGAACACCTTTCTAATATTAGAGAATCTAAAATTGTCATATCCGAGAAGTTTAATTGTATTAGATCAAAGTTTAGAAGATTTATCAATCAAGTACAACTT